TAAAAATTAGCAACTTCTAAAAGTCTATATACACAAAATTAGCAACTTCCAGCTTCCTAAAACTCCATATGGACAAAATCTTTCTAAATATCTTACAATATCTTACGATATCTTACAACAGTCACTGTGAGAGTGAGTGTTGACCAGCATCACCGGTCACCACTGTTGTGTCAGTCGCATTAGCTGAACACACCGTCGTTGCACTTGGCCCACCTCCGGATTCAAATTAATCAAATGAAATATTCGATTTAATAATTGAAATCGAATTCAAATAGGGATTTTTGATATCCATCGAATATCAAATATTCGATTTAATAGTTGTTTTAAGGATGCTAAGACCACATAYATGACTCAACACTGGTCCGCACGGGTTGGTCATTGAGCTCAAAACTACACCTCTGAGGTGATCACCACATGTAAGATGMAGATTGATGTGGATGATATTTGCTATATCACTTTCTTTGGTACTGTAATTGCACTTATTAATTGCGCAGTATCAACGATTACAGCTAATTCTTCAAATTCCAAACAAACTAGAGTACAGTTCTCTTGATAATACATGCACCTTTGAAGCAGAAAAGGAGAAAACAGTTGAATAAACGAGGGAAATTCTCAAAAAGCAGRGAATAGAATCTCATCAATTAATTCACTCAACACTCAGCAACTCAACTGTCATCCCTACTTCGTGATGATCCATCGGCTTGCTAATCGCAGCGTGAGCTTCCTCACTGCTGCTTCCCTCGATAATAGCGTTATGCTGGGAAGCGTTGCCTTTATCTATCTCAGGCTTGTTGGGTTTGGCCATGAGAACACTGTTCGTCTGAGGAGGGTCACCTTTACTTATCGGCGGTGGTGCAGCCCTGGAAAGAATATTGATTCCGGAAGGTGTGCCGGAATCTGTCTTCTTTGTCACCTGTTTGGCCTTGAGAGTAGAGTTGGTCTGAGGGGGATCGCCTCTGTCGATTGGTGGCTTCCTGGGTCTCTTCCTCCTGTCAAAACAATGGGAAAGAGAGCTGATCAGAACAAAAGACCAGTTTTAATGATTCATATTTAGAAAACTGAAGTATAGAGAATAATGAACTTACGTAAGTAGAGAGCTTTGTTGATTCGTGGTTTTCAGGTTTGGCATTTGAGGCGAGTTTCTGGCCATCACCATTGGAGCCGTGAGAGGGAGTACTCTTGTCTGCATGCACAGTGATGAAGATGATCGATCGTCTTAATTTCAAAGTCTTGCTGGGTGCTAGCTTCTCAATCAGGTAGAGTTATATATAGATGAATAATGGGTTCTTTCCTGAGTCAGTGAAACCGTGTTTGATTAATTGATTCTACTTTCAAAGTCTTGTGGGCTTGAATTACAGATTAACAGAGTCAATACAAAGGAGGAGGAAAGGTTGACTTGGCCAAACTGGGGGCAAGAGATGAATCAGTCTAGCTAATATCCTGTCAGCTTGCATATAAACTGAATCCAAAAATTCATTAAAGAGTTTTTGATTGAGTGATGTTGATCATGAATTCATGATCGATTGTTTTTGGTTAATTAATGCTAATACTTAAGCTTATCTAGACTTAGTAATTTATTAATGCCTGGTCTATTGACTTGTCCATGTCGTAAAATGACAGCTTTCTATACGGCTCCGTTTGGTTTGTGGGAAGATTTGGGTGGGATAGAAAAAAAAATAGGATCGAATGGGAAAATGTAAAATTTAAACTTTTAATTGTTTGGTTTTATATAGGAAAATAGTAGGAACTTTTCCATCACAAAACAGAGTTCTCAGAAGTTCAATCCACAGTGGCAGAAGGTAGAAGGGCAAACCTAGCAGCGGTGGTGGTGGTGATTACCAGCAATGGTGGTGGCAGTGGTTACCAGCAGCGGTGGTGCAGTAGCGGCAATGGTTACCAGCAACGATGATGGTTACCAGAAGGGAAGGAGAAAGTGAAGATGGTGGTGGCAGAAGGTAGAAGGGAAAACCCAGCAGCGGTGGTGGCAGTGGTGGTTTCTAGAAGGGAAGGAGAAAGTGAGAAGGTGGGGCAAAGGATGAGGATGATGAAACTCGAGTTTTCTCGAGTTTTTCCACCGAGGTCGCACTATTTTGGTGTGACCCCGATTACACAATTTTGGGATCTCACATCCTAGTTTTTTCTCATCCCATCCCCCTATTTCCCTCAAGACAAATGAGAGAAAAAGAAATATTTTTAGAATATTCCCTTTTTCTCATCCCCATCCCACAAATCAAACGGAGCCTAATGGTTGAACCTTAGCGGTCACAACGGTGGACCCTAAGCCACCAACTACTGTTAGGACAGTTTGAGAAATGCGCACAAAGAACTGGTACAAAGGAATTCGAATACAATGGTTGCATCCAAACAAAACAGTTATGAGTCCTTAAAGCCCTAGCAACAAGAGTTCGGATATCCTGCCCATGCAAACTCTGCCCATGTCTACCCACATAACATTGCAGCCACACATGGAGAACATTTCATCCTTCTACATAGTAATATGCAGGGGAGATACCACTATYTCTAACCCAAAAGGGAGCCGATGCCTCTCTGGTTCTTCCATTGGGAGATTGAATAGTAAAAGATGCATTGAAAATGAGGGTAAAAATGGCATTAWAAAAAATACCAGCCATATCAAATGTCCTTAAACATTTTGTTTGACAGTTGGGATCTGTTTGGCACAATGCTGTAAGCATGTTAAATAAGCACCTGAAAATTTTTTTATACCTGTCCTTTAAAATACCCTCACT